CATTTTTGTCCTTTTCATTTTTTTTTTTTTTTTATCATTTTGCCTGTGTTATTGCCAACTGCATAAATTTTGGCACAGGTGTGTACTTTTATTGGACTTTTACTATTTCACTTCCATTTCCTTTAATAAATCTGTTTTGTACTAGGGACAAAAAATTGTTCCCCTCAGGACCTTAAGGACAAAAATGTCCCCATTGAAACTGCTATTTTTAATCGCAATGCCATTTAACTGTAAAATTATGCAATTTTTGTTGATAGGCTTTCATTATATTGGCAAGGCTTTAAAATTAAATTTTTTACAATTTTCTTACCAGATGGTGCCATTTTTTCAGGTTTGACCTATAAAGAAAATACTCGCTTTATTTCTGTTTTCTGCTTCTGCATATTATAGAGCCAATTTGATCAATAATGCAGCTATAATTGTGTGGGTGTGTTCGTATGGATGTCAGAGTGTGGTTTGTATGTGTGTCATAAAAAAAAATTGTGCGTGTGTGTTCTTGTAATATTTGAGAGAGAAACAATCTTACTGAAAGCTCATTTGTTGAGATATCAACCTCAAATTTGGAATACAACTTGTTTAGATTTATGGCTTTGATTTTCTAGCAGGTATAGAGTTCAACATGTTTCATAAAATATGTGTTTTATATAAAACATCGTTCATAAATCATTTTCATAAACCTAAACATCTAGAACTTTTTTTGGGGTTTCACTTTTTAAACTTTTTTTTTACTTCAACAATAATCTGCCATGGGTCTTCTTTAAAATGAGACCAAACTTAACTCCGTGCTCCCAAGCTTCAAATTTTTATGACAGTTTTTTGACATGGACATTTTTGTCCACTATGGACCTATGTGTAACTTTTTTAATTGACGCACAAGGGTTAAAATATACAGTATATCGAGATTTCCACAAAACAGCACAGCAGTTTTCAAAACGGATGTAAAAAAAACAATTTGAGCAGGAAATCAGCATATTACAATAATTTCTGAACGAGCGTGTGACACTGAAGACTGGAGTAATGATGCTGAAAATTCAGCTGTGCATCAAGGAATAAATGACATTTTTAAATATATTCAAATAGAAAACTAAGCTTCTCGTCTTCCCAGCCACTCCAACTCTACAGCATGATTTCACCATCCGGCTATAGTCTCTGGATTCAGAACTGTAATTCTCAAGTCAAAGTACTGACTTGAATATGTGTGTGAGTGAAATAAGATATGTAATGCGATATAAGGTAGGCAGGACTTTGATTTTATCCATCAGCAGTTGATTGGATGGTAAAAAGTGGGATGTTACATCTCCATATGGAGCCAGAACGAATGCAAATCTGCTAAAACAATGTTCAGAACCACTCACCACTCCATCACATGAGCTTCATGCTGCCCGTTCAATTCAGTAAGTGGTGCCCAATTATCTTAAACAGAAAAAACGTGTTTGAATTTTAAATCTTCATGTAAATGCACTACATACTTAACTATAATTACACCTAAGAAAGAAAGGTATTCATGCCCAGTATAAAGGTAATACACATCTTCATATGACGCACAATAACACACACCCAGCTGCTCTGTTAATGTCCCCTCGGGCCTTTCTGTAGTTTCAGGGTCAAAGAGGTCAGGAGATTCTCATCTTAAATGATTTGCATATCTGGCACAGGAACATATACAACACTCACTGTTCTGCTATTCACATTCACTATTTGCTTGAGCAAGGGCCAGTCCGAAACAAAAGTCAGCGCAGCACAAGTAATGTTTTTAAAGTAATATTTGCACAAAACACTAATCATGAGTAGAACATGTTAAACGCAGCACCACATAGGACCTTTGATATGCACAGATGTCATTTTTGGTGGATTTGCAGTCCAGTGTTTAAGCTCTCCAATATTGTGACGGGAACTGTGATAATTGCTCTGTGGAATGTGTGTGACTCATAAAAGCGTCTCCTGGCTCATCGCCCGCCGTTTCTACGGTAGGGTGGAGATCTTGGGTACACAAGCAGATCAACAAGCGTTCTTGAGAAGTGATAAATGTCTGCTTCTGATGGGGAAAATACTTTCCATAATCTGTCTGTTCAATGAAGACATATGTTTGAGGTTTAATGCCAACTATATTTTGGCCTCTAAATAAATCACAAAAAGGAAAGTCTTGTCAGCCAACATGCCATATTTCTCATAACGACTGATTTGAGGTGAAAACGGGATGTGAGGGTTTTTCCTCCTCAGTAAATCATCTTTCATATTCACTCACACTGTAAACGTATATATTGCTTATACTGTAAATAACTGACAAATTATTATAAATATCACAAATTCAATACATTTATATCTAACATGCACGGTAAAAGCAACACACCATAATGCATTTCTTGTTGAATCACACTTTTATTTGTTGTTATTTTTATGCAAGATTAAAATGCACATTTTGGTCATGTAGATGCAAAATGCAATTTTACACAGCCACATGTAATATTTTAGTACAAAAATATTATTTATTATTATTATTTTTTTTTTGTGTTAATTTTCTGTTTGCCTTTTCTATTTTGCTTTTTGACAACATAATAAAATGGGAAAAATCTATAAATTTTCCCACAAGCATAGACACATTTGAAACACATTCCAGCCAAACAAACGTCAAATAAAAATAATCCTCACAAAATACAATATCACAGCAAACAGCACACAGAAAAGGCATGTCAATCAAACATATATTACTGTATATCTAGAAAACAATTCATTTTGCATTTACTGCTCTAAGCAGCATTTCATTTTTCAAAATATAGCAATATTTCATCATTACAATTACGAAAAATTATTCCCCATTTCAAGTGAATGCATCTAGCATTAAATCTCCTAAAATGCAACCATACCCAAAAGTCCAAAAACATCTTTACACTGCCAAGAAAGGAACATAAGCCACATCTAAAGCTGCATATATATACCACTCAACTGCGCTTAGTCCTTTTCATATAATGTGTTTACAGTAGAATTATGTGTGGCTAACAATGTAAAACAGAAACAACAGATATTGCCATTAGAACTTTAAAGTTTAAGATGGTTCTTCTGATTCTACAGTAGGTGAGAACTGAATTTAACACAGCGTTCAGTCCACTTAAAGCAACTCTATGTAACTTTTGGCGCTCTAGATGTTAATAAACAGAACTATACTTCTCTAAGTTTATGTCTCTGGCGATTCACGCAGGTATGTGTTACTCCGCAGCGGTGACAACCCGACCAGGCTACAATAGTCAGAATATAAGCACTTATTATTAAGTGTACCGTAGTGATTCGGAATAAGACAAAACGGCCGTTTGGAAGATGAATTCATGATGTACTCGCTCATTATATACATTTAGCAATTTTTGAACACAGAAAAGTTACATAATGCTGCTTTAAGTTGAAGAAGGCAACTAGGGATGGGCGATACCCCTTATTTTGTTTTCGATACGATGCCGATATTTTTCAAGGCAGTATCGTCGATATCGATACCGATTCGATACTTCTGCACTAAACTTTTAAATTATGAAATGTATTAAATTATTAAATTACTAAGAGTAAAATGGGTAATGAAAACCACTTAACTTTATGTTTAAAACGCATTTTAACCCGTTTAATCCCAAATTTTTTCCCAGACATGAAAATATCCAAATGATGCGTCATTAGTAACCCTTGGAAATAATCAATCGTTTTTTTTTTTTTTTTGGAAAAGTGTGTGAAAAATGTTATGGTCAGTCACAATTGTAACCGGTGGGATAATGTGTATACTGAATTAACATATTTCTGCAGTCTTAAAAATTGTTATATATCTTAGCCCAGCTATTTTAAACTGTTTGATCAGATTCTAGGGTTACTATTATGCATAAAAAAAACCTTATACAACATTGATAGGAATACTGAGATCAAATACAAAAAAATTTAGATTAATATTCTAATTTATTTGTAACATTTGAACTTTTGATTTAGTGCAATATTTTGTACTGCCATTAGGGACTGCCAGTGACAGGCTGTTGCATGCATAAAATGCAACCTTTTTATTCTGACAGTGTATGATTTCTATTAACATTACAGAATAGAACATGGTCAATATTATCTTTCAACGTTCAATTTAAATAATTGTAATTGCACAAACTATGTAGGCTACAATTTCAATTTGTTTATTGTGAAATAACTCAAACATTTATGGGTTTTTTTCTGTCCTCTGATAAGCATTGTTCAGGGCTGCCATTCCCAAAAGCTTTAATGCTTTCTTATGATACGTTTGGGAAACGCAGCCCTGTTTGAATGCACTGTCAGCAGTGAGTGAACGCTCTGTGATTGATTAGTTCTGTCTTGCAACATTTGCGTGTGTTCAGATGAGCAGGAAAATAGTTCTATCCTAAACAATTACTCGCGAACAAAGGTTATTCATCCAATTCAATGCATATCGTACGCATTACTATTATTATTATTTTTGTTAAATAAACAAAACCACTGGTAAAGAAAATGCACCTTAGCATCGATATTTTTTGTTTGAGTATCGATACTTTCGATACTCGCGTCAGTATCGATATATCGATATTTCGGATCGATACGCCCATCCCTACAGGCAACACATCAAGAGCTGCGAATGCAACCGAAAGTTCATTAAGTTCCAATCCAACAGGCATTCCAATGATGAATCGCTCTGGTTTTCATCTCGATTTTTTCAAATCAAATCAACAATGACGTTTTTCTTTCGACTGACATTATTTCAATCAGATTTCATCACTGACGGTTTATAAAAGTGTTTGCTGGTTGTCATTCCTAACTCTACCTCAGAACAACTTAAGTGGACATCGAGAAGAAATAAAGTGGCGCATTTATACTGAAGGTTTTTACTAACTGCGACGTAAGAGCATATTTAGAAACCGACAAATATTCAGGCCTCATTGCACCAAAATGCAAAAGCTTTATCCAACATGCATTATGATCCCCAATATACAGCACAGGAGGAAAGGGGAAGGAAAGCAGAAGAAGAAGAGTTGATGTATTACTCTGCAGGACCAGTAGTGCAAGTTTGTCAAGCATAAGTGTACAAACTCTTTCCCATGATAGATACAGTATATGCATATCTGTGTATTAGGCACTAAACAGGCCTGCACTAGCAGTACAGCAGCCGCATCAGCCGGTAATCCCAGAAAGAAAAACGGGCGATTGATTATTCCTCCATCAGTGGATTTCAAGTTTAAAAACGATAGAAAAGCGCCATTAAAATATCATAAAAACCATCCAAATGAATTGTGTGCTAAATTCCAGATCAGTCCAATTCATGAACGAATCAGTCGCAGTCTTGTGAACCACTGCACTGAAGAGATCTGAAAGGATATTTACTTTTGGTACATTTTTGGTCTGTTCTTCACATAAAGCATATGGAATATAGCATCACACAAACCCTTTATCATACTTTAAGGGACTTTTTTTTTTTAAGTGTCCTTAAACAACTCTTTTTTTTTTTTTTTTGCAAACAATTTGCAGGAATCCCATTAAATCTACAATATGTACCGCATATAACCATAAAGTCCTGCAATATATGAAAGCAGGGCAGTTCTCTGAAACTCTGTGGCTTCCTGCAGCACTACAAAACTGAAATAAAAAAAATATATATATTAAGTAAAAGCATGAAAAGTATCAGAATCCAGGCAATATAATAAAATGAAGTAAAAGCAAGTGTCTTTCCACTCACTTGCACGTCTCTCAGTGTACATTCATGCCTGTTGCTTCCTCGTATGCTGAAGCAGTGTTGGCATTTATAAACATGTCCTTGTTCATCCCTTCCTACAAAAGAATAAAAGGTCAAAACTATAAATGGAGCATCGTTGTCCGTTCAACACGACACACATCACAATCACAATTATCAGTGTGAAAGTTCTCAGAACCAAATGCATGTGGTGGTTTTGCACTGAATCACTGCTCATCACATGTTTACACATGCCTGTCTGAGCTCCTGAGGTTCAGCAGCCGGAGCTGAATGCTTCACTACTCATTGACTGAACAATCAAAAACAACAACTACATAAACTGTTTGTAATATTCCTGCTGTCAACGGGTTAAAAATTTCAAAATGGCATCAACAACATGAAATGCTTAAATGTGTGATTCGAAAAATCCACACCTAATATACTTCTTTTCCCCACTGTAGATATATATATATAAAATACTTAAATATTACTTACACATCCCTGCATTTTCTGTTCTGCAAATAAATAAATAGTATCTGTCATTTATTAAAATCTATTTATTTATTTCCTACCTTGAGTTTATCAACAAAATTCGTACTAACAAAAAACTTTTTTTTTTCATAAAAATAAGATTTAAGATTTAATTCAAATTATATATGTATCAGATTTAATGCATATTTAATGCAGACAGTAACAAAAATAGTCAAATGTCGAAAGTTTTAATGACATTTAATTGCATAGTTACATCGTGTACTAAGACCGACGGAAAATGAAAAGTTGCGAACTATACTAGGAACTATAATCTCATTCCGGCGTAATAATCAAGGAACTTTGCTGCCGTACCATGGGTGCACCAGGCGCAATGATATTACACAGCGCCTGAAAATAGGCTTATTGGAAGTTACCTAGCTGGGGACTATTTTCAGGCGCTGCGTAATATCATTGCATCAATAAATCAATAAATAGGAAAAATATAGAAACTCTTTGGTCATTTTTGAGCAAGACGGTCTAATCAGATTCAATGATCTATGCTAAGCTAAGCTAAAAGTGCAACCGCCAGACCCGGAGATCGGCCGAATGGATTCGAAAATGGTAAAACTCAACTGTTTAACTCTAGGGGAGTTGGAAAATGAGCCTATTTTCAAAAATAGTGGAGTGTTCCTTTAATATAATTTAATACAATTCTAAAATAAACCTAATAATATATACTAACATTATATTATTATAATTATTCTCCTGTTATTACAAATAACTATAAATGCAAATTTCTGCATCACAACATTAGAATTTACAGTATGACAAATGGATATTCATTTTTTAGATTTGTTAAATATTACATTTCACAGTGTTTTTAAATTATTAAGGTTTTTAAAGATTACTTTTAAATAAGAACTAAATGACAACAAAGGGCATTTAAAAGTAAAAATCAGGGAAATGAGCAAAATCCAATATCCAATATCAATTCATAGTTATATATTGATACATTTAAAAATCTCTAATATCAGCTGATAGCACAAATGGTGCATGTGTCCACACTGTAAATCAGCACATACGTCTGATGTGTAATATACTGGTATGTGTGTTTTGGACCAATGGGATGTCAGTGTGGGCGGAGCTACACTACCTCATGCTACTGAAATACAAATCAAATGATAAAATGACCTGCTTCTCAAGGCTGCTTAAGAAAAAAACTCAGATTAACATGGATCAGACAGCTTTATAGCGTCTGTATATATTACAGTATATTGATTTCTTTTTATCAAAAAAAAAAAAAAGGCCGTGTGGGTGTGTGTGTGTGTAGGTGTCGGAGGGTCACATGAGGAGGAGTGTGTTGTGTGAAAGGCGTTTGCTCTGCCCATGCCCTTTTAAACAAGCAGAGAGAAAGAACTCGTCTCCCTGGATTCCTGTCTTATCCCGCTGAACCTCTTCCAGGGTTGGGTGGAGTACATGTCAGGGCACTGGAAGTGTGTGTGTGTGTGTGTGTGTGTGTGTGTGTGTGAAGACTGTAAACTAGCATACAGACAGAAAGATTGATCGCAGCCTGGGGATTTCCTTTTACCTCAAAGCAGGAAAAAAATCTAAGAAAAAGTGAACACACCCTACCACACCCTGCTTTCTCGGCTTTCTTACAACCAGGTGTTGCTTCCTTTTTCTTTGCCCTCCCATCATAAATCCTTTCAGAATGAGGAAATATTTGTGAAAATATACCTTCGCTCTTCCTCTGAAATCATTAACAGCATCTTGTGATTAACCACTCTGAACAAACGTTTCTTTGGTATGTTGTTTCATCCTAACAGTGCAGTTCCCATGACAAAATGTGCTTGTATTTGTGAGATGCTTTATGTAATGAATGTCAGTTTTCAAATGCTGTTATGCAACTGAACAGGCGACTCTTACAAATCTGCCGAGAACATTGGAGTACCAAAATCAAAAGTACTAAGAAGTTTTTTCCTACACAGTAAAAATTAAACATTTTCAAAAATATCTCTTTATGATAACTTTACAAACACAATAGGATGCGTGTATATATAATTTTCGTTTTTTGTTTTTTTGGACAACAATGCCAGTTGAGGAAGTAAAATGAAAATAATTTTACAATGCAATGCAAAAATCTTATATCAGATTAACAGGTAAAAAATTTATTAATTAATTAATAAAAATATATAATCTGCATTTATATATAAAATTATAAATGCCCTAATTTTTCTTTAATTTACTAATATTTTTATATATTTTTTTTAACTATTAAAAGACTTTCAAAGCTGTGCCTCTATTGCACTGATCGGGAAAGGCTTTACTGCCTGTGTGTAGTTTGAGGCAAGACAGTCTTACCTTTTTCAGCGCATTCTGGATGTCTTTTTGTCCCCACATACTCCGGAGAAGAATTCCAGCAGATTTTCTGGCTGAGTCAAAAAATCTGCGAAACACAGAGATTCTCAGCAGGGTATCTGCTAATACACACACATCAAATTCCTACAGAGTAACTGTCATATATGGGTGGCTATCACAAAACTTGTCATTTGTTGATTTCTTTCCCTCTAAACTTCAACCATGAGCTTGCTAATGCCCTAGTTTCACTTTTATACGTGCAATTTTCTTTGGAAATACTTACAAATTTGAGCTCAGCATGCTCAGAGAGTCGACGAGTTTGGTTTTGATCATCTTCTTGCCAGTGCCGGGCTCTGCCAGCATGAGTGTGTTCATCACACGGCACGCTGTAGCGATGGTGCTGTCAGACTTACCCATGTTCGGCGTCACAGCCGACAGAACAGCACTGACGTTGGGAAGAATTTCCTTGGCTGTGGTTGACAAAAACATCATGGACATCAGGGATCAATGAACTGATGCAATGTTCAAGCAAAGTACAGCACACTGTGTACAACAATATTTCATTTTGTATGATTCTTGTTGACCTGCAATTTTTTTTTTTCACTGGAGGAGGAATACATAAGTAACTGGCCTCAATATTCATTACTTTTTCTTGTATACATAATTACTATTGTTTACATAATACGATCATTTTTAATATATGTAATAATTTAATAAATATTAAAATGAATGAATGAATGAATAAAAGAAAATAAATTGTACATTTGTTGTACACATAATATATATATATATATATATATATATATTAAGCAAACAAATAAAATAATAATAATAATATCACACTTGATGTATTTTTAGGTAACTGGCCTCAATATTAATTAATTGCATATTTCTTAAACAAACAAACACATATTGCTTAAAAGCAATAAAACATTTACATGACATATATTTCGGTTAACTGGCATTGATATAAATTAACTGAATATTTGTTTTATACATAATGTAATACTTTTTCATGTTTAATAATTTCATAAATATGAAAACACACAAACAACAGCAATGTCACACTTACATGACATATTTTAGGTAATTTCCTTTACATTAATATAATGCATATTTCTTGTATACATCATAAAAAAAATGATAAATTAATAAATAAAATGTCTTGTTAGATTTCTTACTGACTAACTAATGTTATATAAAAGCAATATAACACTAACATGACATGTTTTAGGTAACTGGCTTCAGTATTAATTGTACATTTCTTGTATAATAAAATGTTGGATAAAACACTTGCATGACATATACAGTATGTTAGTCACGAGATACCATTTAGAGGAATCATATCAGATGAACTAAATAGTGAACAATTTGTGTTAAGTCGTGTTTAGAAAATGCATTGGGTAGGAGATTGTTATTTTTACTGCCTCTGGGGTATCAGTTGACAATCTGCTGGCGTCCATTCACACAAACACAGACCTGCTGTTGAGAGAGTGAGAAACAAAAGTACCTCCAGCAAGCAGAGGCTCAGGAGACTAACTTACAGCACACTCTCCTCGAATTACATTTTCTTGTCTGTTCCTGTGCTTGTGCAGATGTTACTTAACAGGCACAACACAGAACACAGAACTGACAACACTCTTTCATTAGTAGTGGCACTTGAGCGTTACAAAAGACTCTTACCCATAATACCCTGTAGAGATGACACCCGGGACATGTTGCCCACTAAGGACATGGCGGTCTTCTGCAGGCCCGGGTTTCCTGATATCAGCAGGTGTGAAATGTCAGACAGGCCATGCGGCTTCTGTATGATGCTTTGACTTATCAGAGTGGACAACTGTGCAGAGGTCAAAATACAAGTCGAACAACTTTTCCTTAAGTTCAGTTGCATGTACTGTATATTTCTAGCAAGTGTACATACATAGCTCTTTGAAGCGGTCAGGTTCTGCAGGGCTCCACAGCATGCCTCCAGAGTGCCCTCGTTCTGACTTAAGCCCAGCAGAGACAAATACATCTGCAGCGACTTTTGGTTGTACAGCCAATCCACTCCTTCAGGATCTTCCTTCGCCATGGCTGGAAAGTTGAACTCCTGATAACAAAAAGTACTGTGAATGTATTGAAGACGGATTTTAAACACTCAGTCAACTTGAAACTGCTGTCTAAACTATACTGTGTGGTTAATATGAATAGACCAGTTTTATTATTAATGGTATGAATTTCCATGTTGGTCCATTGCTGGTTGGGTGTATGGAAATGATCAAAAAGTACTGCTGGTTGAAGGATGATTTCACCCCAAATCATTTATTCACCTTCATGTCTTTCCAAACCTGTGTGACTTTGCATTTTCAGAGAAATGCAATATTTCTTTTTTTTTCCAAAACTTTGGAGCCAGTGAGATTTTATGATTTCGATTTTTAAGTCTCTTATGCTCACAAAAGCTGCATTTATTTGATCCAAGATATAGCAAAAACAGTAATCCTGTGAAATATTATTACAATTTAAAATAACGGTTTTCTATTTGAATATATTTTAAAATGTAATTTATTTCTGTGATCAAAACTGAATTTCCAGCATCATTACTCCAGTCTTCAGTGTCACATGATCCTTCAGAAATCATTCCAAGATGCTGATTTGTTGCTCAAGAAACATTTATTATTATTATCAAGGTTGAAAACAGTTGTGCTGCTTAATATTTTTCTGGAACTGCATTTATTTAAAATATATTTTTTGGCTTTTCAAAGCTCCAGGAGCGTAATATTTCTCATGATGTGTTCCGTAGAATACAGAAAGTCATATGCGTTTGGAATACAATAATGAGAGTTTTATTTTTATTTTAAAAATTATCTTTTAAGTCAAGTCAGCATCTCATGACCAGCATCCAAAACATCCTGCATGCTAGTCGTTTTATCAGCAACAGCTCGTACCTTTTGGGTCTTGGTGCTCTTGGGGCTGAAGAGGCTCTTTTTGTTAGCGGTCTCATTCGGTTTCTCATCAAGAGCAGAGAACTGTTCGAAGTGATCTGGAGCCTCTTTCTCTAGCTGGTAACTCAAGTTATGAAGTATGCAGACACAGTTTTCCACCGACTGCTCCCACATCAACAAAACAAACAGAACCAGGACACAGAAGTCACTTTCAGCTTGTTGAACTACAGTTTTTGGCATTATATTGGAGTATTCTGGTAGAAATTAAAACTCTATGGGCCAGATTTACTAAATAGGGCAAATTCCATAAAAAGTAATTTAGTAAATCCTGACAGTACTATCGTAACGCCAAAAGACAGTTTGCACTGGCACAAGCTGTTAGTAAATCTGGCTCTATGAATTAAAAACGATTTAATAATAGGTTAAATAAAGATTAAATAAAAAAAAAAATTACAGTTTGTGTAATTTTACACCCTTCTTTTAATAAACAAGTTTAGTTAGTCACCTTATTTCCATCTTACAATATCATTTTACACATTTATTAATTTCAGAGCAAATCAGTTTTAGAGAACCTTGTGCATTCTAGCATTAGGGCATCTGTTTCAGTGTCCACATATTTTTCAATGTAGTGTAAGAGCTTGGAGATCATGCAGCAAAAATGAAAGCATGATAACCTTGTCATCTGGATAGCCTCTTTGCATTTGAGTCTGAACGCAGGACATGAGAGAGTCGATAAGTCTTGGGCGGCTCCTCATCGATCTCCTCTCCTGCTCACTAGCACAGCTGAGGTTTCTGCGAGAGTACAGCCAGAACTTAACATTAAAACAGACATTAATTTTGCACAGCCGTACAATGATTACATATATGCCAATCTGTGGTGTAACAGTCCTTTTTCTGTCCAACCCAAGTACGTCAACATCTTGTGATCTGCCTCCGATAACAAACAAGTTAGGCAATTCATTATGCAACGCTGGTATGAAAACTTGCATGAAAAAACATGACAGTTCCGAGAAATCTGCTGATGATGAGCACGGATGAATTATAAAGCATCGGTCAGGTGGTTTAGTGTTTCAAGTCATTGCCTGTGTGAGGGATTATTGGGTGTTAAAGATGCCATCATTTGATAAATAGAGTGTGACTATATTTCACTTGTTCTTGCCAAAAAAAACCCACTGAAGCTAAAAACAGCCCTATCGGCACAATAGGCCACCATGCAAGAAAGTGAATGTGGAAAATGTGCATAGACTTTGTGGTCTGATTTTTATCAAGGTACTAAGTAAGCAATAAGGTGTGTGGTTATGCATTTGACAAAGTAAGAGTTATTTACTCACCCTCATGTCATTCAATAGTGTGTACTGTTATTTCTCTGGGAAATGACATAAGCTGTCATACAACTTGGAATATAGTACTAATTGTTACTTTTACAGTGCCTTTTTAGAGTTTCTTGACAGGAATCTTAATGAATGGAAAAATTATTATTGTGTGTGTGTGAGCGTGCTCCATGAAAAAAAAAACAGTTTGATATGACATAAGGGTGCCTAAATTATGACAGAAATTTCATTTTTGGATGAACTATGACTTTAAGTGAAACAAACAAGTATCTCAGTTATTATATTTTTGCTTAAAAATATGATTTAATTCCTCATCTGTTCAGCTGTCACTGTGTTCTTGTACTCAACAGTCAGTTTCTGTAACGCACCTTAAACAGCCAGTCGTGTTGTAGAAGACCTCAGGGTCAGTGTGTTTGTTAGTGTCGTGATCAGTGCAAAAGTTGTAAGGTACCACAACGCTTTCTGTAAGCAGAGGCATGGCGTTCTTGATCAGCTTTGGCTTCAGCTCATCAGCCGAGGACAGATTCCACAACAGACCTGAACAGATATCAAAGGGTCATACTCCATACCTCATATTGTATTTTCGTTTTTAAATAGCTTTTGATAAACACATTAATATCGAACACAAAACCAATTCATGTCACTTTCTTTTAACTATAAAGGAAACTATTCACATACAATGTGATGAGATCATAGGACAACAAATAACACACGGCACATTAAAAAGTTGAAGCACAGGAAAGAGTCGAGTGAGAGCGGCATGTCTTACCAGTGAGTTGTTTCTGTGTTTCTATAATCTTGGTGTTTCTGAGCAAGGTCAGAATGGCCTCTATTCCTTCGCAACGTTCCACCTCAAGCTTGTTATTGTTGTCTTTAAAAACTAAGTTGCGCAGTGCAGCGGCAGCGATCTGTTGCAGCTGTGGATTGTCACATTTCAGCAGCTTAATAAGAGCTGGAATCCCACCCAAACGGCAAACCTTTAAGTGATACAAAACAATACTTATGATTAAATCATTTACAATAATGTGTAGTATGCAACTGCATTACAAAAATATAAGGACTATGTAATTAATTATTAGTAACAGACAGACAGAAAAATGGAAACACGGACGGACGGACAGACAGACAGACAGATAGATAGATAGATAGATAGATAGATAGATAGATAGATAGATAGATAGATAGATAGATAGATAGATAGATAGATAGATAGATAGA